AAAGTTTTTTAATTTTTAGAAATGTTTTCAACGGGGGGGGGGGGGAATCCCTTTTCTGACAAATAAGGAATGTTAAAGTGCAAAAGAATTTAGACCTGCTCAGACACATTTCTCTCTTGCTTGTGGAAGTATGAAAAACAAAGAACATGCAGGCTATCAGCAGGAGTAACTTTCCTGAATATCAAGCCCTGAATGACATGAGCTTATGCAATCCATAGGACTCAAGTTTATACAGCCTACTTATCATGAATTGTAAGGAACAGGCATTATTTTAAGAAAGGAAGACCTCAATGCTTATTTTAAACGACACCCACTCATATCTAGTCACAGATGCAGCAGTTCCCAAGTGACCTTGTTGCTTGACAGAAAAATCCAGGCAACAAAATGTTAAGTGCCTTATGGTATCACTGATGTGCAAAAACTGAACAGATATCTACATTTACACACTATAACCAGGAATTTGGTTTTTTAGATCATTACAAAACTTTTTCCTTCCACGAATCAAGAAACACCCAATCTCCTGTAACTACTAGAATAAGTGAGATTAAAGAAGATCCCTATTTGCTTTAAGGAATTTGCATTTTACTGGCTCAAAAGATACTACTAAGAAGGTCAAATAAAGAAAATCCATGGGAGAAGAAACTCATCCTGCTTTTGAGCATTAGTAGCCTGGGTAACAAACTGACATGAGCCATTTAAATTTTCAAAAAAACTTTTTGTTAGATCAACCAAGCTTTCTCTACAGTCATGGCGAGAAACTTTATTAGGTCAGGTACTGAACTTCTCACACATATCCCCTCATCAACACCTCGGACTGAGAACACCCCCCCCACTCGAAAAAAAAAACCAAACCAAACATCTCAAACATCAAACTAAAACCTTTCAGTAGTGGATGATTCCTTTTTATTTTCACCTCTGTTCGTAAGTTCTTCAAAAAGTAGTCCACTCTAAGAGGAAGAACTCAACTTTTTTTCATAAAAAACCTCCCAAACCCAACCAAGAAGAAGGAAGTCACAAACAGTGAAGTCTGTTATCAATCTTAAATGTAGGGTTACTGCCACTTCCAATCTCCAGCTCTAGACTTCAATTTACACAGGAAGTTTACTGCCACATCAATCATGGCATATAACACACACAACCATTTTAAAAATAAACAAACACTAACAACTGCAAACTACGAAGAAAAAAAGTAAGCCAAAGATGATCAGCTGGTTACTTTTTCACAGGTTTCTCATTGCCCTGAAAGTTTTATTTTTCAGGGAAAGTTTCAACATTTTCTCAACAGTAGCAGTTTGTTCTTGAACTGCAATTAAAACTTTCACTGACAACCTATATCAAGCAAGTTAGAATCTTGTTGCGCATATAAAATTAATGGAAACAGGAAAAGGTAACTCTGGAAAGACAGCAGAAGTTTGGAAAAAATGAGAGAGAAACAAATCTCAGGATAATCCAAGGAGCAGCATGCTCCATGAATGTACAAAATGCTGCCACAGACTACAGAATTGTGCATTTCAGACTGTAATTGCATCTTGTGGTTCTGCTGAAACAAAAATAAAGAAGCAGAACTTGTATAAAATTATTGTAAAGCAATTAAAACTTTACTATGCATTGCTTGATGCAAAACCAAGCATATCCAAATGTAAGATGAAGTGCTCAATTAAAACCACAGTTGAAGAGCTGAGAAATAATGAAAAATGTTAAAATAATTTCAACCACTAAAAAAGTGGGACCATTCAAAAAAACAACTGCACACAGCGCACCAGCACTCATATACAACTATTTAGGTTCATTTTACCAAGCAAGGACTAATCAAGTCCTGACTTGTGGACTTACCCAGCACAGTGACATTAGTCTTCATCAAAATATATATAAAGAAAAATGTGTATTTTATTAAAACTACATAAATGCACAAAAATAGGTAAAACATTTGTTGTACACTTTACTTCTCCAAGGAAGATTAGACTGGATTTTGGGGAAGGGAAGAGGATGGAGATGGAACATTCTTAACTAATCTGCTCTCACAGAGCATGTTCTGGGAATAAGAACGCTGGGACTGGTAAAAATCTGCGACCAATTTGTGTCACATATAGTACAACATGTACAACTTTATAACTTACGGAAATGGGGCAATATATTGAATGAAGAGCATAGTTTCATATATGTCAAAGACTTCCTCCAACAGTGTTCATATTTTTTTTGTTTTAAGGATGGCTGGTGTCTCCAACATGATCCAAAATAATTACTTCAAATGTAATTGTCTTTCTGCGTTCCAAAATGATCATTTAATTGAATTCCATTCCATGTTGAGGATAACAGAAAATAATTAGGATCCAAAGAGATAAATACCCAGCATGATATTAGTTAATATGAGAACCTGGAAGACAGTGAAAAAGCCATTAAGTCTCTCTGAAAGGAAACAAGAGCTTTCAAATAAATAAGCCATCCTTACAG